CTCGGAGTCCACATCTCGGCCGACCTTACCTGGTCCATAAACATTTCCCACCAGGCAGGAAAAGCACAACAAAGGCTGTACTTCCTCAGGGAACTACGTCAGGCCCAATTACCCCAGAGACTGCTAGTTAACTTCTACCGCTCCACCATCGAGAGCCTTCTGACCTACTGCTGCACACTCTGGTTCAACTGCTGCACCGCAGAGGACAAGAAGAAACTGCAGCGGGTGGTGAGGGCAGCAGGCAATCGGCACTTCACTAACCGCCCTCAGAGACATTTATACTGGCAGACTTCAGTAGAAAGCAAGCATCGTCATCAAAGACCCTATGCATCCTGGACACTCACTTTTCCCCCCTTCCCTCTGGTAAACGCTACAGGTCCATCAGGTCGAAGACAAACAGACTCAACAGAAGTTTTACCCACATGCTGTCCAACATGCCCTACCTCCACCCTGATTGGAGGATAACTGCACTGCCAACACTCATGGACATTACGCCTTATTTATAAACCGTATTTCTATTTATACTTCAATGCAACCAACATCCCTACCTCTTTAAACTGTATTTATTATAACCTTATTTATTATAGTTGCAACAGCACCCCCCCCTCGATGTGCAATATCACTGATGACACTGCACCTCTCAATGCACCTGCTCCTCAGATGGCATATATATATATATATATATATATGTGTGTGTGTGTGTGTGTGTGTATGTACGCATGCGTACATGTGTATAGATATATGTATGTCTGTGCGTGCATTGGTGTATCCGTATATTTGCAGGTGTATGTATAACTTGTACATATCTTTCTTGTGTAAATGTAAATTTGTCTGTTATTGTGTAAATACTTACGCTATTGTGTACTTCACATACATGGAGAAATGCCAAACAGCCTTTCATTATTCTTGTAACAGTGACAATAAAAGCTATTCTATTCTACTTCAAAAAAAAATTACAACTTATCAACAAATTCAAGAAAGTGTTCCAGAAACATACCTGCTACCAGTTCAGTGTTTATGATTTGTACTGTTTGTTTGCTCAGTGAGAGGTTTGTTGAATTGATAGCTGACAGGACAGTTTGGGCATCCAGTGTGACATTACTCTCCACCATTATCTCAGCGCTGTAGATATCTTAAATAGGAATAAGATTTGATATATGTTATTATTTTGTGTGATTAGCAACTTATTTGAAAAGAGGTATTTGAGAAATAGAATAAATGTAAAAATTATATTAACTACATGATGAATTATTGTGTTCAATTTAGGAATTCAGATTTGTTGGGATAGTAAAAGGTAGATTTTGGTTCTCATCATTACTTGTGAAATACCTAAGGCTTACTAATAAAATAAACTAAAATACATTATTAAATAAACTTAGCTTAATCAATGTGATCACCTTCAACTCCTGTCCATTTTGGACTCAAAGATTTGCACTAGCAGGAAATGGCTTGAGCACTGTGTATTTGTGTATGAAAACCCTCTTTGACTAAATCCAGAAGTAGTGACAGTTGCACTGGAATTAATCTGCTAGAACTTTTAAACCC